TGCCTTTTAGAAGAGGTAGACTTGCATGGAGAAAGAAGGTCTGCTTTTCGCTGGCTTTCCATCTTTTGAACTCCTCGAGAGGCCTCAACTTTCGGTTGAAATCGTGAGGTAAACCAATGGCCTTGAGATTCTGACTCAAACTTACTACGGACGGCTTTAGATTGACGCCACTTCCGCATGATCCAGCAAGCCATTTGGTCATGCGTCTTGTGAATTCGCCTTCAAGAACTTGGTGCATATAATCAAACAGCAACATATCTGGGATGTTTAAAATTGTATGCACTATTGAAAGACCCTTTACTCCAAAAATGGTTTCTCGGGTATCATTAGCTAATTGTGCGTGAAGTAAGGTGTCATTATGAGTACGACGTGGAAAGGTGTTGGGCGAGTACGGATAAACACGCTTGGTACCACGGCCAGGCATTCTTTCTCCAGGATGGAGACATGAGCAACAACCGAACTTCCCATTGTGTAGTATAAAATTTACTGATGGAGCTTTTGCCACTAAATCGGCAACTTGGCCATTCACAACAAGCTTAAACTTCCGTTCATGTTGCTCTTCTACCGACATCGTAAACCCTTTTCCAAGCAAAGCTGCTTCCTCGACAAATTTCTTTTGAAAGACTTCCATATTTGGTTTTTTCTTTCCATACCAAATTCCTGACATTAGAATATTCTTGTATGAATATCGTAATGACAGTGGAAGTTCAACGATAAAACTCTGAATTGGCCAAAGAGAGATGCTGTTTGATCGAAATGCTGTTTGATCGAAATGCAGGGGCTCCACCTAGATGCCAGTAAATGGTGATTGGAAAGCTGCCGGTTTTCCAAACTTCCCTATATTGCTTTTGATATATACTTCCATCAATAATGTCTTTGTAGACACCCGGCGTATGGTCAAAGTTCTCGGTGAACTTTTTTATTGATTCCCAACTCTCTACAAAAAGAAAATGTTATCACATATATAATTTCGCAAATTCTCTGAATTGGTTATTGGTATTTCAAATTTGAAAAATATGGTTCAAGCGGTACTTGAATCCACAAATCTATAAGAGATTAATATTTTTTTTTGGGGGGGGGGGGGGATTCGACAATTATATAAATAATGCCAAACTTAATGTTACCAGAAAAAAACCCATAATACTAACACAGTAAATTTACCTGGTATCAACCTCTTCAGCTCAGGAAGGATATCGACGGTGTAAAACACACTGGAGTCCTCTCCTTTTTCACATTCTCGATAATGGGTGCAAATCTGATTTTCACACAATAAATCACTAGTCAACAGTGTTTGACAGCTCATGCATGTAAGATACTTAGTGGAAGTATACATGAGCTGTTTCTCAATTTTTTGTTCAAAGAGATAGCTCGACGTATAAGGTAAATTGCTCTCTTCAGGCAGGCAAATCTGAAACATCTTTAAAATGCTGTCCAAAGCCAGATTTGAAAAGTTATGTCTTTGTTTCAAGGCCAGTAAAATAGCATTGAATTCAGGAACTGATAATGAAGAATCCTTAAATAATGGCAGACAGTTATCGTATCCGTTCTCCCCATCCGATCGACCGTCTTCGTTGCTATTATCCGTAGAGATTTGCCCAGTTGCATCATCGTCTCCAGAAATAGACTGATCACAACTGCTGTTGCTCTCTATTTCGCTGTTGTGGTCGGTAGAACGCTCTGCTAGCATTCCTTCAGCATCTGTGCAAAAAATAACCTGCTTGATCAATACATTTTAACTATGTGTTCGGCTTTGACTTTGTAAGGCTATATATTTTATGATGACATATACCAACAATGCTTGCACATACAGGTTGTAGGTTTAGATCATCTTGAAGAAATATAGGTTGCTGAGTGAGTCTGCCAACTAAAACGAATTGGTAGATACATGTAAATAAATCAAATAGTCAATAAGATAACTTACCATGCCAGGGTACCATTACGCGAGGAAGGTTTCTGTCAGGTCTTTCATCATAACCAATGTCACCAACGTTTCGGCCAGGCCTTTCACCATAACCAATGTTGCCAACGTCACTATCATCGAAACAATCATTTACCTGCACATCGCTAAGTTCAGGTTCTGTGTCATGAACGTTGACTGCATGACGAATTATAGATGGTATGGAACTTTGCCGGTTTTCTATTCTCAATCCATCGTTTAGTTCATCAGACTCACTAGATCCACATTCTGTATCGCTGCAGTCACTAGCATCAGCATCACTTCCACTCCTTTCCTTACTAAATGTTGTAATCCCTACACAAATAAAGTTATCTGATGATTGTTGTCGTTCCAGTGTTCACAAAAGGTCATCATGACGAATTTTATGTTTCAGGACAACAATTGGCAAATAATATTACAGACCAATACAATAAACTCTCGCTTTGCATTTGCAAATCCACAGCCATAACTACTATAAAGTGTATTGAAATGACTCTTGTGGTCACTAACAAGCATTTTTATTTTTCTACTCTCTTTACAACGGACAGCACGAGACTCAGTGACCTACATGTACTCATACAAGTACTTCACTTACACCTTGCTACTTGTCAGCGGAAGTACTTTAAAGATTCGGTTGAACCTTGGTGTTTCGCTCACCAATATAGATCATTTGATCTCCTATAAAACCACTAATTCCTATAGATCTTGGCAATCCCTAGTAATCAAGTATAAACTCCTAATGACTCAGAAATCTGGTAAACCATAGTAATCTAGTAACCCTTAGTATTCTAGTAACCTTTAGTTCTTCTGTATTTTGTAAAAAAAAACACGATACAAAACATTGTTTTTGGGCGAAAACCAAGTCAAAACAATCGCACCCTTTGCTACTCGATATCTATCGACGAATAGATAGCGAGTAGAGTAGCCTATCATATTGCAACATTTGCAATGGTAATCTAGTAACCTCTAGTAATCTATGAACCTCTAGTAATCTAGTAATCCATAGTAATCGTTAGTAATCTAGTAACCCTTAGTAATCTAGTAATCCATAATAATCTATAGTAACCTTTGGTAATCCTTAGTACTGTAATATAGTAACCTGGCTCCAGCAATCAAGTAACCCCTAGTAGTCTAGTAACCTCTAGTAATCCGTATAGTAATCTATTAGCCTCTAGTGATCTAGTAATCCATAGTAATCAAGTAACATTTTGTAATCTAGTAACTTCTGGTAATCTAGTAATCTCTAGTAGCCTCTAGTAATCTAGTAACCCATATCAATCTAGTAATATTTTACCGTTCGCTGGTGGCAATGGTGAGATTTAGGAGACAAAAAATGTGAAAGATTACTATTTAGAGCTAAATTTCATGCATTGAAGATAAAAGTAGTTAATTAAAGTTAACTATAGTTAGTAGGATATTTAACCAATCAGAATCCCATTAACTACGATTTACTAAGGAATACTAGATTATTAAGGATTACTAGAGATTACTAGAGGTTACTAAATTACAAGAGGTTATTACTAAGGATTACTAGATTACTATATGGATTACTAGAGGTTACTAGATTACTATATGGATTACTACAGGTTACTAGATTACTAGTGGTTACTACATTACTACGAATTACTAGATTACTAGTGGTTTATACTGAGTGATTATGGGGTTATACTTGATTGCTAGGGATTACCAAGATTTATAGAGAACACTGGGTTCATAGTAAATCAAATGATCTATATTGGTGATTTGGTGAGCGAAACACAAGGGTCAACCAAGATTCCGTTCATATACCGGGTGTCCCAAAAAAAAGTACTCCGGTTTGATTCGTAATAACTTCTAAACAGGTAAAGCTTTCAAAGAGAAATAACTTGCATCAAATAGAGGAAGGACTAACTTAGATTTTGATATATTACAGTTGTATTTCACTTAAAAATTCACGGAGATATGAATGTTTAAAATCGGGAGCATATTTTTGGATGTGTCTGAAATATGCAAAAAACAGCGCATCAAATATTAATCAAGATTTGCCCGACTGAAACATGCACTATTACCAGTAAATAAATGACACTTGAGAAATTGTTTATTATGAAACAAAGTATTATTATATCTACAAAATACAAGCAAGATTTATTCGTCCGAAATCCGCGTTCGTTCCTAGCACGAATACGTTTCCTTATTTCATGAGACCACTGCATTGCGAAGGATCGTCATGAATCGTTCGTAGTTCAGAATTAGGGCATGCTGTCACAATGGAATTGTGAAGCTCTTCTAACTTCTGCAACGTTCTGAAATCTTGTTAAGAACACTCAAACTCTTTTGCCTTTTCTTAATCTTGGCAAGTTCAGAATAAACAAAGAATGAAACACAATCAAACCATACAACTCCATAAGACATAACAAGCAACTCCCCAGAGACATCCAACATTTTTGGAACAAAATGTAACAAAATAGTAGCGTTGATACTCTGATGTGTATTTGCAAAAAGCAATATTATTTCCTTCATTAAAGAATAATATTCATCTTGCTATAACCAAGAAATAATCAACTGTTTTGAACTCATGAAAAACATAAAAAAATTAGGCTATTTAAAAAAAGCTATTTAAGCGCCTGCCTTGCATGGTCTTTCATCTACTTTTAAGTTTGTAAAAACCTATTAAATACTTGCATAATTTTGAACGTTTATATTTCAGGAAACAATGAGCTAAGACTTACAAGTAAGTGTTATGTAAGATGTATAAATCTACGCCATATCCCTTACAAACCCTAACGAGAATTCGCTGAAATACAAGTTAGCCTGATATGTCATTAAGCAGACAAACGCTGGAGTTAATATTTGATATGCCGAATTTCGCTAATTTTAGACACATCCCAAAATAAGCCACCGGTTTTGAACATTAATATCTCCGTGAATTTTTAAGTAAAATACAACTGTAATATATCAAAATCTAAGTTAGTCCTTCCTCTATTTAACGCAAGTCATTTCTATTTGATAGCTTTACTTGTTTAGAAGTTATTATAAATCAAATGGGAGTACTTTTTTTTGGGACACCCGGTACAAGTACAAATTTGACTTGCACTGTGTAGTTATGTATAACAGTAAGGCCACATAAAAAATCCTTGATTGTCATCACCGCCCGACCACATTTTGAAGCCCGCATGTACAATATTTTTAAAATATAGAAGTGCTGCAATTGTTTTTTTTATATTTTATATTCGATTTTTGATATGTAATTGATGTACGAACAGTCGGATTCAAGACTCATGTCGTGTTTTATTTATACTATTGAAGGGTATCAATCTATGGGAATTGATGATGTTCAAAGCCGAGACTGCGAAAATGCAACACACTGATATCCTTCCTCTTTTGCAATAAAATACAGTCATATTTTGAGGCCATACCTGCTTCAGAAGACGCTGTAACATCGATGCTAATGCTATAATAAAACTGCATTTTCAGTGAGCGAACACTGCTTGAAAGACAATTACGTGTATATAAATACATATAGTTGGTAGCCTGATTAAGTTTAAGCTTGTCACCTAGAACGAGCCGGGCTATTATAGAAAATTGCTGTCGGAATAAATCGGTAACCGCGAAAAAGTGGACCAGCGAAAAAAAACCGCGAACCGTGAAAACCCCCCGCGACAATTAGAATTCAAATTTCACACAGTTTTAGTTTGATGGTTTGATGATTTTTACAATTTTTTCCGGCACAATTTTATTTCTATCACCATAAATGTTGTCATGGCCGCGGGAAACGGGGAAATGCTTATTATTTGAGTGCCCTAAACTAAAGTACTAGATTCTAGAAACTGCTCAGTGATATCGTGTTTATAAAATATTTAGATTTAAACACGAGAACTCAGCTTATCCTGGCCTACCTAGAGCTCTTCAAGAGGCTGCATGCGAGTAGTCTACAACGTCACACAACAAAAAAGCAAATGAAAGTAACATAAAATATGCTGTGAAAGCGGACCATGTTGCTTTGATTAAAAAACTTACCAAGTGACGTAGAGAAATTTTCGGCCTCACTGCTTGCGTCGTCACTGAAACTGTTGTCAGAATCAGTATCTAATTCCAAAGGCAAAGGCTCTGTTTGCCTGTCTTCCACAGCAGTACGTCTTCTACATTTTGTTTTGTGTTTTAAACAATCGCTAGCTTTGTATGGAGTGCTTGATGTCAAAGGACAAGGCTCCTCAACAGATGGGGAAGAATCTGAATTTGTATTTTCGCTTTCCGAAGTTTGTTCATAATGAGATTCTTCATCCAAAGGCGATGAATAGGGGATTCACACACTTGCGTACGCAAATGTTCATACTAGCCATTGGGAATAATCGTAGGCATAGCACTTATATACTGTAGCGGTTTAAGTTTAATAGGTAAGAATTTTATCCCAGAGTGCGGAAGCGGAAATAGCTGTCAGAAGGATGGCTTTCATATCGACATTTGACACGCGCTTTCCTGTATGACTCATGAACTCATGATGCCGTGTAATTTAAATCTCCCGCCTACTGAACGGTGATTGGTCGATCACATTCGTAGCGGTTGCTATAAAAGATTCTCATTGGTTGCTGAAGACTACGGTAGACGTTAAGCATCATTATAGATTATTTATTCACAAACCTTCAAAGAGTCAAAGTCTCAAGCGTTTTGCAGCAACTATTTAACCTTTTTATATTGTGAAAAATGGCAGTAAGCGAACGTCTACAAAAGAAATTTTTTGCTGATAAATTCCCAGGTATGTTAATGTTGTACATGAATAGCTTTTTAACAGTCGTGTTGTTCTACCAGTTTGAAATGTCCGCACGCTCGGTACAAGCTAAGCAAGCATTTTTTGTGAATGCGCATACATATAAAGATGCTAGTATTCATAACAAGATCGCCGCACATAGCGAGTTTTTACAGTGCGCCAAATAAGTACTGCTGAAGCACATTGACTATAGCTACTGTTGTGAATCACAATCGCCAAGGTGCGCCTCCTTTATATGTCCAAACAGTCATTAAAATGCCTTACTTGATCAGTAACTATGATCTGTAACGCCAGTTGTGGTAGTATTGCCGCTTAAGATGTTCGTTTTTTATGTTGTGCACTTTACTTTATCTTTACTTTACTGTTAAATATGAATGTCAGAACAATAACCGCATTTCATCTGGCTTCCCAAAATGCTACTACCTTGTTGCGTTTACTCATACCGTAAACCTCCGAATATAAGCCCAGGGCTTATATATTTCGTTCGTAAGCATATTTTGATGGGCCTATACAAGGGGGGGGGGGCTTATACATGGACCACATTTTGTGTTCGTAATAAAATTTATTGCAA